CGGGAGGGGGGGAGGGAGGAGGAGCCCCCCCCCAGCAGCAGGGCAGGCGGGGCTCGGGGCCGGCAGTGACCGCCCTCGGGATGCCGGTGTGTGCGGCCCCTGCGCGGTGTCACCGCGGCCTCCCGGGTGTCCTGCGGGCTGGGGAGCTGCTGGGAAAGCAGCGACCTCGGCACCGATGTGCCAGGGGTAGCGTGCTTGGCGACCGGGCGGCAGGCAGCAGCTTCCACTGGCCGCCTCACTTCCCCACCCCCGCATTTATCTGCATCACTTCTTTTGGAGACCTCATCCTCACTTCTCAAGACGGTTTCCCTTAGATTTGTATTCTACTAAAAACGCATTAACGTTTAACGGAGACGTATGAAGAGCAGGTTTTGGATGAGGTTATCATGATGGTCGTTAATGCTGCGAGTAGGTGGGAAACGCGGGGTGCTGAGAGGCCTTTAATTGCTCTGTTATCTTCGCTTCCATTTCTGCCGCCTGACCTTTGTCAGTGATGCCATATTCTGCACTGGCATTTCTTTCATGCTGCTGTTAGGCAGGAAATGCTTTGTGCAGTTGCACAAAACCAGCAAGCACGTTCTACTGCACTTCCTAGATGAGGAAAAAAGTTTAGAATATCTTTTATTATAGTCTTTTTAATTAAGATCCTTGTTTGGCTGCATTGTTTATGTAGATGAGCAAGACTTCCTATAGTGTAATAGCATATGCCTTGGGAAGAGAAACTCTCACTTGCTTAATAGAGGATTTTAAGCCCCAAATTGACAACAATTTTAACAAATGTACATCAAGTGGAGGTAAGACTTAGAAAAGGCACCAAAAACGCTATGCAGAAAGGCTATAATTGCTTTCCAAAGGACAGTGCCCCATATAGCTCAAATACTAGATCTTAGATGAGATCTAGCCAGAGACTAAACCTGATGTAGTCTCATGAAGAGGATAAGTTTTTGGAAGTGTTATAATAATAGTGGTTTAACAAAATGATCTCTTGAATGTCTGTACTCAGTACATGGAAGTCAGAACTATTCATATTTATAGGACATGTCAAATGTTTGATGTGCTTAAACTATTAGATTTGCTGGTATCTTCTTCATCTGTCAGTCACCTTATATTTCAGGTGAATTCTGATTAACCACCTCTTAAAAGAACCTATCTAGGACTGTAGTCTTCTATTACATTATCCCACATCCTTTGTTTTTAAATCAGTGCAATGAAAATGGCAACCAATGTTGCTTGAAGAAATGACAAATCTTGCTTCCTTTAGAAGCTGCCATGACTTTCTGACTGATGTACTCATGCTGTAATATTGAAAATGATCATCAACCTAGGTCTTTGTTTATTGCTGAATTATGGACTGGAGTTTTGCACCTTTAGACTTGTTTCAGACACTAACTATAGGTATATAAACATCATATTAAACATATGCAGCTAAGGGAAGGAAAGGCTTTTCTAAAATAGCAAAACCCATTCATTTCCTCTTGTTGCAGGATAAAAATCTAACCTCTGTCTTTTCAGACATAAACCAAATGCCATTTTACATTGTCTTTTGCTATGCAAAACAGTGCAATTTAATTATTAACTTAGGACATATAATATACACATACTCACTGTTTATATATATGTTTAGAGAGGGTTTCTGCTCAGACTTATTTGCATTCCCAAGGCATTGCACAATAAAAAAGCCAAGAGACTTGACAGTACAGGCTCTCTCATGTAACTGGCACTACCATACATACCATGACACAGAATGCTTAACAGTTCACTGACTTCTAAATAGGTGGTTTCTTTCTGCATCTTATCACTGGTAGCTTCTAATGTACCTGCTCATATATATGGAATGAAAACATCTTAAAAACATGAAAAATTATGCAAAGTTTTACTAGAAACATAAGTAAACAGTTTCTCTATTTTTCTACTAAAATAGTCTGCTATACCTTGTTTACAGTTTGAGGTTATTTCCTTTCCATCAGTATCACACACTGCCCGTTTGAAGTCCAGACATCAGTAATTGATATTTTTATAATAAAACAGAAATGCTTTTATTCTACAGTGTTCACTTTTAAACATTAAGCATAATCCAGAAAGCTTACATGATACTCCTTAAAAATTACAAGTTCTGATTTATTTATGTTCAGATTTATTTATGTTCAGGTTTAAAGGTCATGAGTATATAATTCAGTGGTTATGGTACTATGTAATTTTTTCTTTTGCATTCTTTCATATATGTCTCCTTTAATGGGAAAGCCACAGCTATTATGATGACACAACATGTTGCCACACCTGACAAACATTTAAATTCTCCTCCATCTCTTTCCTTCTCCACCCCCTTTTCCACTTGTTTTATAAACTAGAACCACCATCAAAGTGATTTATTGTGTTGATAATGCTGTTTATTCTTTTTTATTATTCAAGCACCTTACAGGCATTACATATTATGATCTTATTTGTGAGACAACTAGGCATGTAATTCTAGTTAAATAAAAGAATTTAATGTAAAAAAAATGTTAGGATTAGGAAAAACAAATGTAGTGTGCACAGAATTATAGGTACATTATTTGCTTTTACCTTTTTGGGATATTGTCTTGGTGGAAGGAAGCTATTCAGTATCCTCATGGTGAAGAGTAACATTGCTTCCAAGTGCAAAAAGGATGCAAGAACACTGAGTCAGCATCTCATTTAAGCTTCAGGACAAATTATGCCTGAGCAACTTGATTGTCTTTTCATACCAAGTCAGTAATTTCATTACAGGGAAGAGCTGTGGTTGTCATTTACCTTGGCTTAAGCAAGGATTCTGACACAATCCTTGGTAACATCCTTCTGGACAAAATGGAGAGGTACAGACTGCAACCTGGGTGGAAAAACTGGCTGGACTGTTAGACTTAAAGAGTTCAGTGTTTTGAAGTTTAATAGGTGGGCATTGATAAAGAGGTTGATTGTGAGGTGGATACTGTTAAGCACCTTCATCAGGGATGCAGGCAGTACAATAGGATGCATAGTCATTGAGCTTGTGGGTGGCACCAGCTGAGGCACAGACTGACTGGCAAACTGGGGTAAGGACAAAAGACAGGTTTTTATAAGTCCCTTTCCCCATGGGGTGGTGAGGGGGAGGGACATGTATCTAAAGAACAACAAGATGTATATTGTATTGGTTTGGCTTTTAGTTCCTCATATCACAGAACTGACTGTAACCACTGCAGAATAAATGTGTATACTTGGCATGCTATTTAATACCAGTCATCTTTACCCTTTTCGTTAGGGATGTATTATAGTGGGTCCTGCTGTTCCAACTTTTTTATATGATTATCCATCTCCCTTGATCCTTTCCTATCTGAAAATGTACTTGTATTAACCTGGAGAGAGGCTGCAGTAGGAGTGAAGCTCAGCTGGCATGCAACATGTATCATTCCTGTAAAATATGTTGGAGAGTTTATAAACTTTGATAATGAAACCTGCAACAATACTATTTAACTTTGAAATTATTACATTGAAATGCTACTTTGGTAATCTGACATGTTAGTATTTTGGCTGTTCCATTTTTACAGACCCGCTCTTTGCTGGGAGTATTTGAAGAAGATGCTGCTGCAATTTCCAATTACATAAATCAGTTATTTCAAGCCATGCACAGAATATATGATGCACAGGTAGTGTTGATGAAATTCTTGAATGCATTCAAAAGCTTTGAAACCACATTTCATGTCTCTTGCTTTTTTGAAATTATTATAAGCAATATTTTTTTTAAACTTCAATGTTTTTTAAACATGGAATTGAGATAAAATAAGAATGAAATTACTGTTTTTCATTATGTTTGGGACTGGTGAAGACTAAATTCTTGTGATTTCTTTTGCAACAGAATTTCCTATGGCAAGTAAAATATCTTATGGTCTCCTAGTAGTTTTATTGTAATATCCAAGTGTTTTTAAAAGTTTTCCCATCATGATCTTAGTATGTATAATTGTAAAGTACCAAGTCAAAGACTATTTTTTATCTGCAATATATTCATGTTTCACTCATCATCTGATAAGTAACTGCAGTTTTATGCCAAAGGCTGAATCTGTTTTCTGTGTTTTTCTGAAACATTGAGTTTATGGCTATTTTAAAAATTTGTATTAAAAAATCAGTAAAATCTCAAAAGTTGTTCTGTACAATCTGCTAATTAGGTCACGTTTGTGTACAAGTACCAAGCAGTTTGTTACCAGGTAGCACTGAGGTTCATTGTAATCTTTCCTTTACAGAAAATAAATTCCTAATACTCAGAAACTAGGGCAGCTAATTTGAAAGAAGGGAGTGCAACTATGCACTGCATAATGTGAAAAATAAAGGAATCAGGGCACACAGTGCAGGCTGCGAACTGGTTACCTGTAATTCAGTAATGTTAGAGAAATGAAAGGGCAAGATGCTTGGAGTTTCTGAAAATCTGTGGTTAGATTTTAAGATAGCTTCAATTATGCAATTTAAAAATATTAATTTAAATGAAAAAGTAACAAGCTTGGGTTTTTGTCTTTTTTTTTTTTTTTTGTTAATCAGAACGAATTAAGTGCAGCAACTCATCTGACTTCAAAGCTTCTGAAGGAATATGAGAAGCAGGTACTGTGTAAATCACTGTTGTGTATGTATGGTCAGGACTACATATTTTTCTACTCTTTTATCTCCCAGAGCACAATGTAGAATGTATTTAGCTTTAGTCCATATAAAATGAACAGCTGTAGCTGGTGGCTCGAATCTTTGTCAAAATCATCTATCTTCATGTTAGTTCTTTCAACTAAAACAGAATAAAGCTCCCCTTACCATGATGAATATTAGTAAGTTCTAGAATATTTTACTTTTGAATCTCTGTGTTTGGGGATTGTTTAGCAATCTCCATTTAAAAACCATATTTACTACCTACAGTAGTCCCATGAGAAAGGGATGGAGAAACAGAGAGATGTAGAGTGTCTTTACTTTGGCCTCCATCAAGGTATTAATAGAAGTAAACTCCTTTGGATGACTTAGAAATTTCACACAGTCACATAACTTAAGAGTTAGAAGTTTAAGATGAACACCAAATATTTCTTAACTTTTGATAATTTAAAAATAATTTGCAAAGCTGGATAAAAATCTTCATAGATGTGAAGTCTTCATCTTTCCTGATTAAAAAAAAAAAAATAATTATTGTATAAAATCAATTAATTAGATTAATCTATTTTTATAATAGATGTGTTTTTTAAATTAGAATTGTTTCTTAGTCTTTTCCTCCCCAAAATGTTCTTTCTTCACAGGACAGTAAAGAAGTGCTTCAGTGTATCTTAACTATATAATATTTTAAAATAATGGAGCACCTAATACATTCATAGACATGATTAATACAGTTTTGCGAGTGGCAGAGGACGCTGCAAACAACACACCTCCTTTTATTTTCTTTTAGCGTTTTCCACTAGGGGGAGATGATGAAGTTATGACTTCCACTCTACAACAATTTGCAAAAGTAATAGATGAGGCAAGTACTTGTCTTTGTTTCACTTATTTGGCTAATGTCACCATGTATAGACTTTAACTTTCTTAATTATTCCAGCTTTTTCTAAGATACGAGGTACAGAATTTGCTTTCATTTGTCAATAAGGCAACACCTAATTATATATTGCAGCACTTATTTAAAGTTGTATAACCTGAAGATAAAGAATCCTCAGCAAAATGTGGATACGTGTTTGTTTGAGAAAAAATGTAGTTTAACTTCCTGTGGATACAGCCAAAACCCATTACAGGATAGCAGCTGGAACTGTTTTTTATGAGGGTGTTTTTATTGGCTGATTTTAGATACCTGACTGACAAAGGAACTTCCTGCTGTCTGTGTTAGAGACAGAGACTGGCTCTTTCCAAAGGCAGCCTAGCAGCATTAAAATCTTAATCAGGATTTTACCTGTGATCCTTCTCCTTACTTTTAACATTACTTCAACAGCATTTAGGGAGGAAGCAAGAATATGTTTGTCCTACTTCTGCAACCTGTGAAAGATGGTCTGTGATGTAGTTGAAGGGAAACTGGAGAAATAAATGAACTAGTCATGAGAATGCATAAGGCCATCTTCTGACATGATCCAGCAACTTGGAATAAAGTTGGAAAAGTAGGGACAAATACTAAACTCTGAAGGTCTTCTGTAAAAAAAATATGAGATCACTAGCCTAGAAAAGAATAGCTGCAAAAAAAGGAATGTGCAAAATTATGCTTGAATTCTAGATGTCATCTTTGAGTGAAATTTACACCAACCTTTTGTTTTGCTTTATGTCAGCACTGTTTTCCTAAAATTTCCTTTTTCTCTTGTCTTTTACAGCTCAGCTCTTGCCATGCAGTACTTTCAACTCAACTTGCAGATGCAATGATGTTTCCCATTACCCAGTTTAAAGAAAGGGATCTAAAAGGTAGAGTGCTCCAACAAATACTGGTTTTATCTGCAGCAGCAATAATAAAAATGGAGCATTTAATCTCAATAGCTCTTTGTAGTTAGTGATTCTACTACTGACTAATTTTACAGTTACATTATTCTACAGCCATGCTGGTAATACAGGTGGCTTCTTATTTGCCATCTTATTTGCATGCATGCATCTTATTTGCATGCATAAGATGCTTCCAACTTATTTTATAGCAGTTGTATCTTACTCTGCCTGGTCTAAAATAATATTTAATGTATCTGATTATGATGGATTTTACTCGAGATGATAAAGTGAATAGATTTGTGTAGCAAATGGGCTAATAAATTATAAGAGTTGTTCCCAAATTTGTTTAAATCCCTAATGTGAACATCCTAGAATGGTACTACCTATCATATGAACACTTTAAGTCTAAATGGAAATAAAAATTCTAACTTCCCTAAGCCTAAAAAAACATCTAGAACAGAACATGACTGATCTTAGGCAGGAGGAATCACAATGTCTTTGGGCCTTTTCTTTGATCCAGTAATACTTCCCCATCTCCTGTGTTTCTGCTTCCCCAACTCAGACCAGAAGTTCCTCCTTAAATTATTACAGTACAGTATCTTTTTTGGTAAGCTGGCTTGCCACATAGATGATACTCAGGCCCTAAGTAGGAGCAGACATTCTTGGCCAGATTGTGCCTGTGCTGATAACTCAGTATGGAACGAAGTGCAAACTGCAACTGATCAGAAATGAAACATTGCAGGAGAAACCTTTATACATAAAAGTTTTGTTACTAACAACTTATTTAAATTGTGCTATGTTATTTTGTAGAGATATTGACTCTAAAGGAAGTTTTCCAAATTGCAAGCAATGGTAAGTGTGAAATACTTAATGTTCTAGGTATTACAAGACAACAGTATTATTGTAGATTAGGATTGTAGATTTTTACTCAGAAAACTAGGGGAGATATTTGCATGGCTCAGAGTGACTAACTAAAGTGTAATTTTTTTCAGTGATATTTAGGCACCCAGCTTTCCTTGGTTCACTTGTAAATCTCTGCTTTGTGTATCAGTGTTAAAGCAAATTGACAGCATTAGTATTTTTTAGAATACTTTAAGTGTATATCTAATTATTAAATAATTTAGGATTATGCTATAAAAATTACTAAAAATAGTAAGGTGCTAGCTCACTTCTTAAAGTCAGGACTGGATTAATAAATGTCACCTCCCTTAAATTAGTTTGATATTTTTTTTCCGTATTGTAAGAAGTTACATTTTTTTAACTAGCTCTACTGTATCCTTGTAGAGGACATATTCTTTAAGGAAGGATTAAGTAAGGATTTGGCTTCTCTTAATGTAAATTGCTTCCCTGCTTTAGAAGCAAGAATGGTTAGATACAGGTTTTCATAATGGAAAATTGTCTCTACCTAAAGAAAGTTTCTGTCTTTGAAGAATATTAGAATATTTGAAGAATATTAGTTAGGGAAATTTGGCCATGTTGACATTTTTCTTCAGCCCAAGTATTTGTGGCAGTGCAGTAATAATAAACAAGCAAAAACAATAAAAGTTTTGATACAACAGAACTTTGCATTCAGCTGGCTGTGCAACACTCGCTGATAGAAAAGGTTTTCTGCTGTTTCTTAAGTCATTAATTTATCACAATAATAATGAATTCTCTCTTGATGCTTAGACCATGATGCTGCCATTACCAGATACGGTCGGTTGTCAAAAAGAAGGGAAAATGAAAAGGTTTGTAAAAACCAAAATACTTAATATAAAGATTTTTAGACGAGATAAGAAATAATTTTCATCTAATATTTATGATGGAAGGCAATGTATAGGGGATTCCACCTGAAGGTTGATAGTTTATATTTTAGCAGTAGAGACAGTTTGCTTTAGAACAGAAAATCAGGTTTCCCCAATACAGGCCTGTCTCGTAACTCTGAAAATGCTCTAAGATGAATGTTGTGATACTATATTGAATTTATTTTTGTAAAGAAATAATCATACTTTCTGGGGATAAAAGAATGCTGTATTTATTTTTCCTTTATCTGTCATGTATAAGTTAGAGAAGCAGAATTGTAGAGTAAAATATGCATTTGGTGATGACAGAGGGTAGAACATTACTGTGTTGTTTTTTCGATACTGGCAATAAAGCTGTCCAGAAGGCATGTGATGGATAACAAGTCTCAAACATTCCTTTTTCCTCCCCCTGTCTGTGTCTCTTTAGATCAAGGCTGAAGTTACAGAAGATGTATATACTTCCAGGAAAAAACAGCATCAGACTATGATGCATTATTTTTGTGCACTAAATAGTCTTCAGTACAAAAAGAAAATTGCTGTGCTAGAACCTTTGCTAGGATACATGCAAGCTCAGGTAACTTCAGATTCTGAAAGAAGGCTGATGTACTGAAATCCATTGCAAGACCTTTTTGCAATCCAAGGAAGCAAATAGAGAAAAAGACATACCCCATCCTCATCCCTGCAGCTGGCATAGCTGCTGCCATCAACACTGTCAGTAGCCAGCAGCAGTCATTTCCCACTCAATACATGAATCTCATCATGACATGCCCTCCCTCCCTCAGAGGATCTTCTAGGGAAGTTTTGGTGACAAATATAAAGGTCTGATTCTACCCCAAACCCAGATGGCTACATTTAATGCACTGCCTGAAATTCCATTGCTAGGTACTTTTTTCCACTGGATTGCTAATGGGAATAGCTGATTAAAACTTCCATGAATGCAAGTCCACGTGGAGGTTTATCTTCTTGGAAAGTAATGTGGAAACAGTTAGACTCTTTCCTGTGTCAGCTATTCTGAGATGAGATAATCTTTTTATTGAGAGACTTTGGTGGGACTGAGGGATGAAAACAGATTTCTCTGAGAAACTTTAACCTCCTGTGGTTTCATATGTTATTACTGTAGGTCTATTAATGACTAAATTCTCCCTTTTTTTTTAAGATAAGTTTTTTTAAAATGGGTTCAGAAAATCTTACTGAGCAATTAGAAGAATTTTTGACCAATATTGGCACAAGTGTACAGAAGTAAGTTGCTTTTTCTTGAATTTTCAACTACTATCAAGCCAATTATTTCATTAATAAATTATCTTTGTTAATAACACATTGTTTACCTTAGTGTTCGCAGGGAAATGGAGTGTGAAGTAGAAAACATGCAACAAACTATAGAGGACTTGGAAGTAGCTAGTGATCCACTGTATTTGCCTGATCCTGATCCTACAAAATTTCCTGTTCATAGAAATCTAACCCGGAAAGCTGGCTATCTCAATGCAAGAAAGTAAGACTAACTTGTTACCTAAACATTCCAGAATACTTTACTTTGAGAAAGAAAAGCTAAAAAAGTTATGTATTATTTTTCTGAATTTAGCTCTGCTGATTTTATGTGTTGAGTAACTCAGATAGGAGCTGTTCTGTTTCTTCCTTTGCACTCTTTTACTTAATTAGTATTAATTTCGTTGTTACACTGACAAAGTGTCATTCAGGTGCAGAGTATGGTTATCCTGGTTCTAGTCTAATTTTGTCTGAATTTTCACATCATGAAGAATAATTAAAGTTTAGTAGAGTGTGATTTCACTGGATTGTTACTATGAAACAACCAGATGCAGCTTCCAGGATTGTTACGTAAGTATCTGTTAAATCTTTGGGATTCAGTCTAGTTAAAAAATAAGACAAGTTGGAGATACACAAAGCGAAACATCCTCTGTTAACAGAAACACACTTTGAAAATGGCCTTCTCAGTTTCATGAGGGAGCTGTCACTCTATTGCTAATTTTTATAGTTATTAAAAATAAGTTGTAACACTCAGAATTTTTTTCTGTAATTTATAGTTAAGCTCGAAGGATGTTATTAAAAAACGTAGGCTGCTTTTTAAACAACAATTAGAGTAACATACTCGCTGAATGAGGCATGCATTTCTGTGGTAGAACACAATTGCAGCAATTAATATTGAAAGGAGTGTCTGAAAAAAAGGGAGGCATTTGCAAATACCAATGACTGTTGTTTTCAGATTGTTCCTCTCATGTTATCCTGGGGAGAAAAAAACAAACATACAACACCCAAAAACCCCAACAACATGCTTTAAGCCAAATGTTGGAGATCTTGTTGAATGGTACAAAATACTTGAAAATTGAGGTATCTTATGTGACTAAGCTAATGCTTAACACAAGGGTCTTCAAAACTTGGTCTTAACAATGAAAGTGCAAAGTTCAGAGGTCTTACACATTGTATTGATAAAGCACATAATTTGAATATGCATTTTGTGTAAAGCATTACATAAAAGCTGATCATTAATACTGAACTACTTAGACCTTTTTATTCTAATAAAGTTTCACAGAATCTAGAAAAGCAACAAATCAATGTATTCTTTGCCAGCAGTAGGTTTAGAATGAAAAAAATAACTGACAGAAAGAGACAAATTTAGCTGTAAAGCTAACCTGAAACGTTAAATGGGGATAAAAGTTTTCTTAAATGTCTAGATGGTTTGTACCAAATAATTATTTTCTTTCTCCTAATTTATACAGCTCAGCTGAAGTCCTAAGCTACTAAGACACTCTTTTTATCTTTTAGTAAGACAGGGCTGGTATCTTCTAGTTGGGAGAGACAGTTCTACTTCACTCAAGGTGGAAATTTGATGAGCCAGGCAAGAGGAGACGTAGCTGGGGGACTTGTCATGGATATAGACAATTGTTCTGTAATGGCTGTGGACTGTGAAGACAGACGGTACTGTTTTCAGATAACATCTTTTGATGGTAAAAAGTAAGTATTCTTACATTACTGGTACCTGTAATACTGACTCACTAATTAAGAAGAGAAAGATAGTCTATCTTTGGCCAGATTATAGCTTGGTAGATTCTGGGGGTATTTAGAAGTAAAATCTGGGATGTCGTCTTCACTTTGTAATGTCTGTTTGTTTTGTTGTTTGTCTTTTTAGTTTATCAGCTCTATAATGTAGCTGAGTGGTATTTCAGAATAAGGTTACCATAACCAGTTTACAGTGGTGTGTTACCTTTTGCAAGGGCTTAGGTATTACATGGGCACAATTAGAATTTTGTTCCTTTTCTATTTTCAATTAAAATTAAAACATAGATTGCCTGTCACCCACCCATTAAATGCTGACAGCATTTGGCACATACACAGAATCTTCAGCCTTTCTTAATTTATCGTGCAATGTACAAATGTGAAAGTGGAATTTCCTGTCTGAATGTAATTGTGAGGCATTTTAAATAGACAGAATTGTCTTTTCCATTCTCCTCTTTCAGGTCTTCAATCTTACAGGCAGAGAGTAAAAAAGATTATGAAGAGGTAAGTTTATAGGAGGTTCTCATGCAGTCCAATGATTTTCTGTTATGCAGAAGGAATACATTTGTAACCATAGTTGGTGTGCTGGTTTTATCTAGGTGGTAAGCAGTGAACTTTTAACTCATTCTATCCATAATGACAGGCTTCAGGAAGTCTCACAAAATAATACTTTGTTTAAATCCTAGAGAAAAAAAATGCAGTTCTGAGTGCAACCAAGTCCTTTTCACTATCATGGAAGCAGGAAAGGAAAAAAGGGACCAAAAAAAGCCCACAGCAAAACAGCTAGGAGTAATGGAATCTTGAGAAATGCTGCTGCTGCTGCTTTGTTCATGCTTTCTCAAACTTCTTTCTTCCTACCTGCTTGTCAAGAATGGAAAATAAAGGAAGTCTTTGGTTAGGACACAGAGAATAATACAGGCAGTTGAGAAAAGAGGAAAAACTGTTTTTCTGCCCCTGATAGATGATGGGAAACTATGTTCATACTTCGTGAACAAGTTGAAATGTGAAATAATATTGCTTTTGGACTGCTTTCAAATCTGCTTGTGTCACCAGTTCCAAATGGCTGCTAACTCTGGTGAGGCAGACGTACTTGCCTGTGCACTGGATGAACACAAGCTGAGAAATGTCAGTATTCAAATACTATGCCAGCAAATTTACATGTTGTACCACATATTGGTGGGGAAAAGAAACGGGGAGGGAAAACCCCATCCAACCAGCAAGGATGTATTTTCCCTACTTTCTTTAGCTTTCTGTAGAGGTGAGAAAAATAAGGTTCTCTAGAGTTTTTGCAAATAATAGCCTAGCGGTATAGGTGTGTAGTGGTCCAACAAAGAATGTTCTAGTTATTAGAATTAATGTTTTATTTGGACAGCTTTTTACAGCTGTCCAAAAGCTTGCACAGATGAGCCAAACTGTTAAATTCATTACATTCATTACAGTCTAGGAATATACTCAGATTTGTCCAGAAACAAAGGAACACATGTAGTAAGAGATACTAAGTATTTGTTAAATAAAGAGGTATATCTGTTTGCATTATTACTCATTAAAAACTTTTCAATAAGGGGCAGGATGGGAAAAAAAAACATTTTAAAAGCACCTTTGATTTGAAGCATGTTTGGGCAAGCAGCTGGATGAGGAAATACAGAAAATATGGTACTTTCAGCCTGGATTCAAATTCCTCTGCAATCTTCAATGTTACATTGATGTAAAATGATCTTTTATGCTATTCCTAAGGTTTTTAAAGTGGAACAGCCTCTGTAGTATGCATGCAATCCAGTTAGTTTTCCTTCAGGTAAAAGTTGAAAAGCATAGAGCAGGAACAGATGGTTTTCCACAGCACAGAGAGAAAATTGATTCTAGCTTACAAGTGCAAGAAATGGGCAAATTCCACAGAAGGCAGATGGAATCTTTAGAATACCTTGAGGAAACACTGTCATCTGCAGTTGCAGAATAATGGGAGTACAGAGAATCCTGATTTTGTTTTTTTTTAAATTCCTAACTGTCATGACTTAAGCTTGTTTTAGTGTTGAGCTTCAGTGTGTCTAAAGTAATTTATTCAAGTAAAATCTGATATTGGGAGGTGCAGTATGCAGATAGTAATGAACTGAATGACAAGCTGAGTGTGCAGAATAATGGTTTGGCTCCCTGAAGTTAGAAAGAAAGTGGGAAAAGTGCTGAAACTAGTCAACTTGACTATTGAATCAAGTTTGTTAAAAAATGACAAATATTTTTTTTTCTCTCTCTTTTTCAGTGGATATGCACCATAAACAACATATCTAAACAGATATATCTTAGTGAAAACCCTGAGGTAACTACTAAAATTCATAGTATAAGTAATATGGTAAGATGTAGATTTGCACAAAATTCAAGAGATCAACTAGATAGCACAAAATTAAGCTGATTGCTTCCTACATTTGTAATCACAAGCTTATCATGGTATGAAAGCATACAGTCTGTTTTCTTCTTCATCTAACTTCTTATATAGGAAGCTTGAAAAATATACGACTTTTATATTTGGTATAACTTTTGACATCTTCAAGATCCTGTATTTGTATATGATACTTTGTCACAAATATTCAGATGGATCCATTTAATTCCTACTAGAGAGAACTGACAGTCTTCTGAATATGAATCTGATGAGCACAGACATTTTGTAGGAAAAATATTTTCACTTCATTGCAGTTATTTGCCTTGTTACTTGTTTCATATAGGGCATTTGGGTACATAAATTAATGTCATTTATGTGGTTTTAATTTATCTAGTAAATTAATTTTTTCCCATCCCTCTATTGCAGGAAATTGCTGCACGTGTAAATCAGTCAGCTCTGGAAGCTGTTACTCCATCTCCCTCCTTTCAGCAGAGGCATGAGAGCATGCGGCCTACTCTGTAAGTTAATGAACACTTGGCTGTAATTTGAAGACCACATCTATAAAGAGAAACAAACCCCAACAAACAACAAAAACTTTCTATGTTTGGAAATAAATCTTGGATAGACTAGAGAAAAATTTCTTGGACTTACCTTTTTAGCATTGTGTAGCATCCATTGTCACAAGTAGTCAAGATTTCCAGCCGACTAGACAGTTTTGTTGGTTGCATCATATGTTTGGTTTGTTGCATGAATTTATATTGAGATTTTTCTTAATCCTAATTGCTGAAAGCAGACCTCAGATTGTTTTAACATCATTATGTAATCACAGATGAAATATAATACAATCTGATGCAATTATGCCACGCAAGTAGTAACTGTAAGTTTGGCTAGAAATGGAGACTCCGTCTTTGTTTACTATACCCTGATCTTACTCAGGTTTTTAGTTTTTGTTTTACATCAAGTTTTGGAATATTGTATTGGTCTCCCATATGGTTTAATTTATTATCAACCAACCTGAAACTAAGAGATCTTAATTTTTTTTGTTTTGTTTCAGACAATCTCGGCCTCCTGCAGTTCGGACGAGCAGCACAGGGTCACTTGGATCTGAATCAGCAGCTTTATCGACACTCTCCCTGGATTCACTTGTTGCCCCTGACACGCCGATACAATTTGACATCATATCTCCAGTTAGTGAAGATCTGCCTGGTCAAGCAAAATCTTCAGGGCAAGCGGGGAGGTAGGACATGCAGAGAGCAGAAAAAAAATCCTGAAGTTAATCATTTAGAAAAAAACAACCAATCAAACCAGAAATCCATGTTTAGGCTGTAGCTCCAAAACACACGTTGCCATTGCCCTGACTCATGTCACAAAATTTGCAGTGCCCAGCAAAGCAAACCAGTTTTTTGTGATAGTTAAGTAGAGTTGTGAAACAATGGCTTAACTACATGCACTAGTCTTGAGGGTTGTTTTCTGTTTAGCAGCACCTTTTCTTACTTTAACAGCTATTGCTTTTATTTATTGATTTATTACTACCTTTTGGTTTCATAAAGTATTTTCCTTTCCTATTGCTTGCTCACCCAGCAGTTTGGGTTATTTCCTCTTGGAAACTCAAGAGAAATTTGGTAGCCCTGCCTCCAGGTGATGATGGCATACGATGACACTCTTCTTAACCTGAAAGGTGAGTGAAAATGATCTAGGCTTCTAGAGTAATCTCATCTACAGACAAGTGAAAATTGTCTAAGAGCTCTTCCCAAAATATAAAAACATTTTCTTCTACTTGTTTTTTTGTAAACTTCCCACTCAAAAGTTAAAAAAAACAACCTGTAAATCTGCACAGCCTTTCTGGAACTATATGTACAGAGATCAGATATTAAGAAAACTTTATTTGCAGACGCAGCTGTTCTTGACAACAAAAGCCTAAAAGCTGAAAACTAAATTATATTACTCCAGTCACAAAAACGTGTTGTATTCCTCTGCCCTCCAGAAGAATATTTGTATTTTCAGTTGCACCTCACAGAGACGTCAGAGTTAAATATATTCAATTTTAACTCATCCTTTTTTTGTCAGTTTTTTTGTTGTTGACTAACCGGTTGGCTAACTAGATCCTTAAGAATATATTGATTTAAAAAAAGACTGGAACTGTATTCCAGGAAGTGGAAAGATTTAATAGCTAAACTCATGTCATCAGTTATAGTTCCATTCTAGAAAATCCTGTGTTTCGTAGCAGAAAGGATACGGTTGTGCTCAGTATTTTCAGTTGACCATCACTGTCAATAAAGAAATGCAATGTTTGTACAAATAGGCAACATGCTACTTTAGAAGGATTAATTATTTAAAAAGTCTTCCCCACTTGCCTTAGTTCCTGAAACTGATGACATATTTAAATTTTAATTTTGCCTTTTGAGAGATCCAATGAGATTTGGCATTTACTTTTCCAGTCTAATCTTAAATGGCAAAAAAGTCTCAGCAATAAAAGATGCTAATAGAATCTCCCTTTACTGTATTTATGCAGGTGAGCATCTAATGGGATTATTCTTGATTGAATCCTTGTTAAATAAACATTGTAGCAATGACTTTTGACGTCAGAGTTCAATCTAGAACAATTTTACTCCTTTAAACTAGACATCTCTTACTTAAAAGACTTCACTGATAAAATAAAACTGGCAGTCAGCATAACATGTAACTGAACAAGAGATTGACATCTTTTTCTTAGTTCATAAATTTGCTTTTAGAACATCTCTTAGAGAGATGATGCCTTCATTACTCCCTTATAAAACCTAATTTGAAGTTTATTAACCCCTTGACAATAGTTCTGCAGCTACCAATTAGCCAAAGAGTTTTTTCCTCTTTAGAAGTTTTAAACACAATTTCCCCATTTCACATATTCTCTTCTCAGCAATGCTTTTGAAAAATGTAACTTGGAAGCCTAGAGTATTTTCACTTTCATTGTAACTGATAGCAATTCTGTCTTTGAGAGCCAGAAATAGCCACGTTTCTCTTGACTGTCTAGGAGTAAAACCCCAGTACTATTTTCAGAAAGCTGCATTTCAAACAAACCTATGACTTCTCTTCAGTAAGCGTGACTACTAGCTTTTGGCTATACTTCCTGAAGTTGTTCTGTGAAATTTCATTCCCTAAAACTATACCTTTTCAAAGTCTTGACTTGGGCTTAATTCAGATCTAACGAAAAAATTCAGATCTAAAAAAATACCATGAGCAAACTCTCTATGGCAGCAATAGGACAATAATATCTGGTATTTTTTCCCATGAGTCCTCAAATATAGCAATTTATGTCTAACTGCTGATTAAACTGCTTGTCCTTATGATTTATCATTCATTGTTTATCTGGATTGCAAGTCTGTGAAATAGTGACATGTTCTTACTTGATGCAGCATTAGACTGCTACATGATTCCTTAGTGGTTCTTGTGGTCTCACTCCTGGCTTGATGTTTTCATTTTTTAATAGACGCACAAATCCTTTTGGTGAATCTGAAGGCTCAAAATCTGAAACAGAAGGTAAAACAAAAATTTTATTTCAATGGAAAATAAAAAATAGAATTTGAAAATTATTTTCCTGTTCTAATCTGTAGCTTCTACTTTCACACTAGTTTTAGAATGCTTAGTTATATTAGCAATGTATTAAGACAAGTGGAGTTAAATCATGCAACTGTCTGAAAGTCTGTGTTCAAAATAACTCATTGCAACTCATGTAGTCATTGAACCCAATGAAAAGGTCTGTGACTTGCTGCTTAGTAATTGTACTTCTAATTCATAAGTATGAGCAGTATCTTTCCAAGTTGTTAGAAGCTCGGAGTTTTCCTGACTGAACTCCATCTGTGGATTTGAGTGGAAGACTCAAAATAGAGTTCACATTTTTAATACTTTTCTTTGTCTTAGATTCAATTCTTCACCAGTTATTTATTGTAAGATTTCTTGGCTCTATGGAGGTGAAGTCTGATGAAAGCCCAGATGTTGTTTATGAAACAATGCGTCAAATACTAGCAGCTCGGGCCATCCATAATATTTTCAGGATGACAGAATCACATTTATTAGTCACTTGTGACTGTTTAAAGTAAGTTTGCTTCCTGACTTCTACTGATGTTTATTTACAGAATTATCTTCTTTCAGTTTGGTAAAATTTACTTTTTGGTTTGTTTTTAAAAACAAATTTTTAGGTTAATTGATCCACAGACACAAGTTACAAGACTGCGAGTAAGTAACTTTACATTTTAAGATAAATATCCAGCACTGTAACTCTTCTACTTTAAATATATTAAATATATTATATTATATATTATATTAGCAAAAATCAATTACAGCATGAGATTTCCAGACAAATTTCTACTGAAATTAGGAAAGTAATGCATACATTGAAAAATAGACAGAAAAACATGAGCAAATCTGGTTTAAGGGGAGTGATTTCAGTAGATCAGGCAGACTTTACAGGCTTTTGAATCCCCCTAATTTGATAGGGTAAAATCTTAGGAAAACAATATTGTATTTTAACAACGTGTTTGATTATATTTTGGAGGCAAATTAGTTCTGATGTCCAGAAAGGTTTGCTGGTGTTTGGGCTTTTTTGTTTTCCATTTTTGGTTGTTAATGCATTATTGCATTGGTAGTGCTGTGTGGTTTCTGTTGTGGTGTTGGGGTTTTTTCCTAATCCTTTATAACAAATGCACTTATCAAATATGCCCAGCTTAATTATTCCATAATAGTTATCTGTATTTATTATGTTTCAAATTCGTTGCTCTCCTCCCTGCAGCACCCACCCTTCTCTATATACAATTTATGATCTGTTATTTAATTTGTTTGGGTCTTCTTTAAAAAACACTCAAGTTTTTTTGTGACTCTGAATTACTTTCATTTCTGTAAAAGGAAACCCTAAGCATGTGAAAATGTCTTGATATTTTACTTAGTGGGTTTTGGTTTCTTTCTTTACTTCTGAGGCATTAAGTTCAAAACTGTCCCGACGCTGTAAACTTTTACAAATGAGATATATCAACTGAGTGCATGTGTAGTATTCTGAATGTGTACACTTAAGGTTAGGAAAAACCTGTCCTATCACTTCATGGCAGCTGTAGTAGGGGCCTTCAGAATTTAAAAACTTATCCTCCGGTAAGTCTCAAAAAGATCTGTTTGAAATGTCTAAGTCAACTCTTTCAGGAATGAGAATGCAAAATCATTCTACAAAATAGTGAGGCTATGTGGTTTGTTAATTTTGGGGTTTGTTTGTTTTCTTGCTTATATGTTCCTAAAGAGCTGAAGCTAATTGCAGGAAAGGTTCTGGAGTAGTAGTGCCTTTACCCTGGCACCAAATACTGAAGGCTTAGTTGCAAAAGTAATTTGTATGAATAATGTCTCCTAAAAGAAAAAAAGGAGTGTCCTCACATTGAGAAAGATGGCTGAATGGCATTGCAGATGTGGTTCCTTGTGCTTTTAGAAATTGTCCTGTATTTTGAATAATTTAGAATAATTTAATCCTTGTCTTCTTCTGTTTGTATTACACAAATGCATGTTCTGTGTGGTTGACCACTTAGGATACTGAAGTCATTAATATGCAGTATTGAAACTTCATCTACAAAATATTTGGAACCAGTTTTAATATCTCCATATTTGATCCTTTTTGGCAGTTTCCTTTGCCCAACGTAGTCTTGTATGCTACACACCAGGAGAACAAGCGCCTCTTTGGATTTGTGCTTAGAACTTCAGGAGGGAGAGCTGAGAGCCGCCAAACTTCTGTCTGCTATATATTTGAATCAAATAATGAAGGGGAAAAGGTACTGGTGATGGTTATACTTGTATCAGTTTTCAACCTGACATGGATCCTAAGATGTTAGACCCATTTGAGCTAAGGATTTCTGTGTGTTTTGTTTATTTACTGAGAAACAGTTAAACCAGATTGCTTAACTGCCTGCAAGTGCTTTAAGGTGCTATCATATTTAATTTGGGGATCTGGCTTTAAGGGCATTTTTTTAGGGTTATTTTGATTACTTCAAATCTGTTTTTTGTTTAGATTTGTGACTCTGTTGGACTGGCAAAACAGATAGCTTTTCATGCAGAACTGGTAAGAACCTTTTTGGGGCAAGGGATACTTGTGAATGGAAGGGCAAGAGTGTATATTTAACATGTGTAATAAAATATATTCTGCAAGATATTTATAGATCCACTAGTACTGTTCTGGTATATTTTAAGGGATTAGTTTTCTAGGATTTAAACTCAAGGTAAAAAGACTGGCCAGTGGGAACTGCAGAACAATATTGAAAAGAGGATTCAGCTGGCATACCAGTCCTTTAAAAGAATAGTAATTAAATCAGTTGTATAACAGCTTTGAGTATACTCATATAAATAGGTAGTGTATCAAACATCTCAGACTGTTACTGACTTTATATACATTTTTTACCCTTTAGGATCGGAAAGCATCAGAAAAGCAAAAAGAAATTGAGAGAGTCAAAGAGAAGCAACAAAAAGAACTGAATAAACAAAAACAAATTGAAAAGGTACATCTCATAATGACTTCTTAATATTACTTTTTTCACCCTGCCTTCTTTGGCAGCTTTGTATTCCAAGCTTCACTACCATATTTTTTAGTAAAACTTCATGGAACGTTAAGTTCATTATTAGAAGCATTTCCTGTGTTAATTGTGCAGATTTTGTACAGTAGTTTTAAAAAAGAGCTCTTTGTAAGAGTACTTAAGAGCAGTACTTGAAGGAAGCTTTTAAAGCTGCAGAACACATGGGAATGGGGAATAAGAAAGGCAAACAGTGAGCTGGACTTCCCCATTCTCTCTCAAGTAACACTGAGGGTACAGTTTATTCATATATGCAGCATGATTGGACTAGTCTCTGCACTACAGAATGAGTTCTGTATTTGTACAGGTCAGCATGTTTGGTAAAAGATTAAGAATAAAAGGACAGTAAGTTACCTTGATCGTTGACAGCAGGTCCTTCAGTTTTGAACTTCTCCATGTCCTTTGCTGAGGAGGGTTCAGTTACACTGTGAGAAGGGGATGCAGGGAGTGGGTTCTAGATGATGACACTTGTTCTGACTTGTTGTGTTTTAAGTACAGTTGTGTTAGCTGTTCTAGCAGTGCCAGCCTCTGAAATGGATTGGTTTTCTATGCAGTCTTTTCATTCACTCTGTACATAAAGTGGTCCATTGGTAGTATTAAAGGACAGTTGATAAATTATAATAATGTTAGCCTGTTTCAATTGTAAGTTACTTAAAAGTTAATACTTTTTTTCTCATTTTCCACCTCCCCCTCTCACATTAGGACTTAGAGGAGCAAAGCCGCTTGATAGCTGCTTCCAGCAGATCAAACCAGAGCAGTGGAGAAGGACAGTTTGTAGTCCTGAGCAGTAGCCAGTCAGAAGACAGTGATTTAGGAGAAGATGGAAAGAAGAAGCGAGAATCTGAAGCCTAATGTTGCCTACTATATTAAAATGGTAATCTTGGATATATTTGGTGAAATGGCACAAGTCCTTCAAGAAGTGAAATGTAGGTGGAGGGTCTGTTGTACGATAGAAGAGAGTAGACCCTGTTATGCCTTGATTTTTCTTCCTCAATTGCGTGAATTCCATTTTCACGTCAGTATAATTTCTCTTCTGTATGCCAGATGAATCACGGTGATGCTACCAGGTTCATTACCAAATTGTTTTCTTGAGGCTTTTCTGCACTATGGAAAAAACTGTGGGTTCCCCCCAATCTCTCTGTGCAATTGACTGCTCTTGAAGCAAAACTTAAAACTCTGGTTGGACTTCAGCAGTACATGGCAATGTGTTCTTTACACTGTACCATAGAGAACACCTTGCCAGAAGCAGAAGTGGGTGTCCAAATAAGGCAGTGCTAAGCTTTACCTAATTTGTTGCACATACCTGTTCTTAGATTTAGAAAGAAAAATCCTTATAAACAGCAGAGATTTGAGCAGTAGTTCTAGACAGATCTTTTTTGTGTCATATTGCACTGTATGACACCGTCTTCAGTTTTTTGGTCAACAGAATGCTGAAAGAATTGTTTTCAACAGGAGGAAAAAATAGTCAGACCTAGATAAGAGCTGATGAGACAGTTGCACTTTGCTGCATGAGGAATGTATAAAGCATTCCTTATCAAATTATAAGAGTAATGTATATATTCTTGTAGCACAAGTGCCATGTTCTTGTTTTTTTACCCAGTACATGTAATAAAAAGCTGTAAGCCTTAGAGTTCACTTTTATAGAACATGCTTGCAGTTGCAGGAACATCCTGAATTCCATCATTTGAAAAATCTTTTGAATATGTATATGCCTTGTCACCAGTACACTACATTTACTGACAACAAGTTGAAGCTCTTAATCTTTTTATAGAAATTGATTTTGCAAACAAAATTATGAGCTCTGAAGTAAAAGAATATGTTAATCCTACATCCTAGACTCAATCCTGTAAAGCATTTTTCGAAGCAGTGTCTGTTTATAGCTTGTAAGCAAGTGGAGCTCTGTGTTCCAAACTGTGTAATATTTATTTTGTATAGTACTAAATGTGTGCATTCACCTTTTGATCCAGAAGAGAAAACTTGTTTGCAGAGAAAGATTTATTTTTGCACTAATTACTATAAATACTAAAAGCCAGTGGAACAGAAGATTTATCTCTTAATAGTGGCATGAAAATAACAGGAAATGTAGAAAGAGAAGAATATGCTTATACTTCAAGTTATAACAGTTATGAGTGTTATACAGCTTGTTGCATGGCATTTCTGGTGTTCAGGAATGGAAGCAGATTTCTGAATGTCTTACCCTGAGTGGGTGGTGGCCCAGCCCTTCATGGCTGGAGTTGCTCAGTGCTCATAAAGCAAGTGAGGAACCTCAGGCCCTCACTGGCAAGATGTCTGTGGGTGCATAGAGAGGGCAATATCCTTGGCTCTCCTCACACACTGGAGCAGTGCTGTGGTGGCTAAAGCCAGCAGTCTCCTCCTGCCCCTTCTGCTGGAGATGCAAATTTCTCTGCAGTTCTCTGCATCTGGCTCCTGTCACAGGAGAGAAGAGGAAGCAGTGTCTGGGCAGAATGAAGGGAGCCAACTGTGCTGCTGCAGCAGCTGGAGCAGCTCTTGGAGCAGATGGGACTGGCACTTCAACCCATGGAAGGGCTTGAGCAGCCTTGGAAGGGGTCCCAGCACTCCTACCTTAAAGGAGGAGGGTGAGTGGGAGGCTGAGCAGCGGGCACCCTCCAGGTTTACTTCCTGAGCCAGTCAGCAACACCTGTTCCAGTGCATTTTTCATGTCCAGAGGAACCAGCCAGTCACTTGCAGAAATACCTGCTTTTGCTGTTGTCCAGTCAGGCCCACTAGCTTTGCCCTGCAGCCACATTAGGCTACCACCCTGTGCATGGACCACACCAATCTGAAGCTTTTTTCTAAGAGTGGCATTTTTATTTTATACATAGTCTTCTATTCTTGTCTGTTGTCCTTATGAGGCTGCTCTTATTGCCAAGAAAAATGCACAGAGGCAGCAAATCTCATTTTTTCATTTTTATACCTAAATCTGGGCTTACAGATAGTTGTACGCAACCAGCTTGTCTCTGAAAATTGTTCTGGTTCATGGTTTTTTCTTGTTGTTTTTTTTTTTACTTACTGATATTTCTGGTTTTTATCAAATAACATGACAGTGTAGTTCAAGATTACTGTTTCTTACAGTATCTTAACTGCTTATGTTCCTGAAGATGAAGTAATTTTGAAACGGTACAGGAAGAATATGGAATCAGTGGTCTCCAGTTTCTAGAATCTCATCTCCCAGCTTGTCAGAGTAGGATCAACTGATGAATTAACCAGTTTAGCTGCAATAGCCATAGATCCATATCGAAGACAGTTAACAGATCAGCCATCTCACCAAAACACATTCTGATTTGTATCTGCTTTGCATTAGCATTGTTGAAGAAATATAAAAAAATGAATAAATCTATTTTCTTTTCTTGAAATCTACCATTACTATTAGACAAATCTGCAAAAATGAGGAAGAAAGCAAGAGAAAGAGAATTGACAGATTAAGTTACTGTCATAGGATTTTTCAGATTTAACAACTGACTGGAATTACTCCATTTGCTTTTCTTAGGCTTCCCATCTATGCCATGAAATGTAGTTTCCTGTAACAGATAACATAAAAGTGAAGTGTGTTTCTTTTCTGTTAGATGATTCTCATCTTAACCACTAAAAAAGAAAGGGAAAAGAATGAAGAGAATGGTTAAAGAAAACAGTTTAACGAGTGTGAATGAAATAATGGGGGTTTTTTTGCTTGTTTAGGAGAGTTTCACTGATGAGAAATTAACTAAAAGATATAAAAGCATCTATGAGAATTATGAAAGCTGCAATAGCAAATGGCAGGTCCAAAGAGATGAGGAAGTTACACTGGAATGGTGCAATGAGTTAGCAGTTGTGTGAGGGTTACTGAGGTTTGCTTAAGGGGAGAGGCACCTAACTTTGTAATTAGAACTATTTCAAGTAAAAAAACCAAAACCAACTGTGGAAGTTTTATCCATACCCACCTCCCCAAAATTAATTATTTGCTACTGTTTTTCCTATGTATTTTAGAACTACATAAAAATGTTTTCCAATTACTAGAAAAGAAATTAGTTTCTAGTATTTACCTTGAGGGTATGACTTGAACAAACACATGTTCTCCTGGAACTACTGCTGTAGGATTTTACTATTTACTATGCCTGAGTGTTTTACTATTCTAAGTAAATTACTGATTGGTTTGCTCTTCTATGATTTATTTCTCCTCATTAAGAATTCCTATTGCCTTTTACTTACAAGACTGATCTTTCAAGCACTCAGCTGGAGCTGTAGTTTGCTTCATATGAATCTAGTATTCTTTCAGACACTCCTGAAGTATTCTTTCACATTATTTTAAAGTGACTTTGCATAGGCACTGAATCAGCAGTGCTCTTCAGGACTAAATTTTTATGTTGCTGCTTGCAGCCTAACAGTTACCTTCACATTTTTTCCCTTCTGTAAGGGCACATTAAGTTTGTTACACTCTGTAGATTTACACACTACAGACCAAGTAAGTCTTGCCATCTGTTTCAAGCTACACACATTCTTTATGTATGTAATGGCATGATATCAAACTATATCAAGTGTGCTTATGGGTATGCATTTTATTGCATTAGAGGTAACACCTAGCACTCCCTTATGACCATTCCTGGTTTTCTCAAAGTCTAAATTGGAGGACAAGTCAAGAGTCAAAAACAACTTAGCCATAGATAACTGCTTACAGATGGGCAGTGTAAACTTAATTTGTATTTGATAGTCTATTAATTCCATAATCTGTTTATGTTTGAAATTGTATCAAGACAATTTACTATCTAACAGTCAAGTAATATTTAAGAGTTAAAGAACATTCCTCCTGCACAATGCTGTCAAATTTCATCTTCATACAGATGTAAACCCAGAGCTGCAAATCCTGAAACAGCTGAAGCTAATTATGAAGATATAGTTTAGGTACATTGATATAAAGAAGCAAATTTGATTGTGCATATATATTTAAGGTAAATTCTGATTAGGAGAAGCCAATGGAAAAAATCATGATACAGTGTCTTATTTCAGAAGTAATTCATGTAAAGAAAACTTGCCTCTGCTTAATGAGCTTAGTAGAGCTATCATCTAGTTTTAAACAGCAAGAGCTTGTATTTTATATCCTTTCTGGTACTCTATTTTAGAAAACTTCTAGCAAGTCAGTTAGTCTCTAGAGCTTTTCTTTTTACCCAAGCAGTAAGTTGATACTCTTTTCCTGCCAGAGTGGTATCTGAGTCGTCATGACAAGAGTAAGTCGGTGTCATTGTGAATGCACTTGTATTCCTAATGGAGTTTATATTGCAAGCCAAGGATTTTGTACAATCTTACGAGTAACTTTTGTAACAGACTTGAAGTGGTCAAATTCTTATGATGATATTCTGGATCAGTCCTGCTCTAGTGAAGTGTGATTTTTGCAATGTTTGAAACTGACTTGCACATACTCCCTGAATAGCTGTATTAAAACCTCCAATGGCATACTTATGTCAACTTCAATTGTTGTGTCTTAATCTTGGAAACATGGACAGTAAACATATTATGCCAGGGCTTCAGTCAGCATTTTGTAGATTAAATAAAAGCTTCACTGTAGTAACTTTCTGGGTGGGATTTGTACTGATACAAAAGCTTGCATTTTTCATAATACTGACTTCCAGGAAGTACCATTATTGGTGACAGGATGCATTCCATTAAATGAAGTTTTGACATGCAGTTATATTCCTCTGTTGTCAAAGTGTATCTCAGTTCTCTTAATTTTAATCACTTTAGCCAGATGACCTCAGAGGAAGTTATTGTACTTGGGAATGCTGATAGCTTATTTTTGCAACAATCAAAGACTGAAGAGTAGAAGAAAGTCCTTCCCACCCTCTCTGGCTGTTTAGTGCACA